TCAAAGTTGTAGGAACCCACTTTTGAAACCGTGATTTCTTTTGGGTCAGGATTTTTTCTTTCTGATTAACAAGAAAGCATTCCGCATAACGGTTTGTTTCATTCACTATCATCGTAATCAGATCGTCATCAAAAATAACTCAAAATATCAAAATATCATCTGCACACTGAACTGGCACTATTTGTTTCCCAACTAAATCACACGTAAAAGGTAGAGGAGGATTAGCACTGTCGACCTCTTCCCAAGTATTATCTGGAATATTCAGAGAAAATTGAGGTTCTTCCTCTTCCTCTTCGGAACTGGAATCGAGAGTATATCCACATGAACCCACAGAGGTTGTATCCGAATCTACTGAACAGTTTTCGTGCAAAAGATCAAGCACTTGTTCGTCAGACAAGTTATGAGAGCAAGATGCCATGGTGAACTAAATAGCTCAGCTAAGGGACGGTCCCAAGGCAGAAAAGAAATAAATGCTGACATAGGCGCCTGGCAACCTCAATCCCTAGGTTCGTAACATCATACACAAGACACCAGATAATAAGTGGTTGAATAATTTTTCGTACCACACTTTTTCCCTTGTTTCCTACTGAAATACATTCTGAGGTTTAGTTTCTGAATTCCCATCAGCATACGCAAACCTAGGAATACCTTAATTTCATTTGAAATTGTGGGAACCCACTTTTGAAAGCGTGATTTTATTTGTGTTAGGGGCAAGAAACTGTGCCGCCAGATAAGTTACGTGACCGAGATGCCATTGAGCTCCGCTATTCATAAATGTTGACACAGGTGTCAGGCAAATTCGACCCCTGGGTTTGTAACATCGTAAATCAGACACAGCTGTTTTGTCGCCAGTAAGCCAAGCCAGTAAAAAATATAGTAACACAAACACAGATAACAAGAACTCAATGAAAGTTAGCTAACAAATTATCTCTCTGAAAGCAAGTCGGAGTGTGAGTGGGAACAGTTCTTCTGCAACCAGCAGACACCAGATGCTTTGTCCCAAGCAAAGCGAGTAAAAAAAATACCACACACAAACAGCGAAGAATGAAAGCACTCACTATTAGCTCATATATACATTCACTGGAAGTACATATATCAGAGCGTAGGCGTTAAGAATTCTTAGTGAAAAGTTTGGACGCAACATATGCGGCGCGCACGCTTACAGCACGGGTTTGAGCGGACGCAGCCGGTGCTTCGCACACGCTTAGGAATTTAAATGGCTCCGCTTAAAGTCACGCTCAGGGGGTTAAATGAGAAGGAAAAAATATGTAAGAGCTGGCTTTGTTATGGTCAGGCCTCAGTGAGCTTTCAGCAGACCTGAGCACAACCATCAAATATTGGGAGTCCTGTACTGTTTATTTGAGTATCAGGTTTTGATTTCTTGATGAAAGCTTGAGCACATATACAGAGCATTGTTTAGCATGTTTGGATAAAAGTGTTTATAATAACCCATCTTGAGATATCCTCTGCAATGTACAAGTGTTTGGGTGTAAATGATTTCAAATCACTAATTTTGCAAGTCACGCTGTTTGATTCATTTTAATTGACCGATGGTGATGAATGAACAGAAAGGTCTCCGATTTCAGCATTGGCATCAACTGTGAATTGGGTCATTGCATCAGAACTTACGAACCACAAGGTTTAAAAATTGTCCTACATCAATACAAAAAATGTTCATGAAGAGCAGTCCAGAACACGTGATACTGGACGATGAAAACTTTAGGTGCCCTGGTATCCAGGATTTGTTCAGGACTCTTCTTGTTTCTTGTATGAAAACATTAATTGTAGCCTGTATTGCTGTTGCACATTTTTTCCCCTTACTGCCACTTTCTTTCTGTTACATTAAGGTCAGTTCTTTGCTTTAATTTTGAATAATGAATTCATAACCTATATCCAACTAATGCCAAGATTTTCATGACATGGTTAATTAAGTATGGATACAGCTTTACACTTAATTGGAAATTCTGCTTATGATTACCATTTTGTTCCATTACATCAGCTACCTCAGCAGATGGCCCGGATGAACCTTGGTGGAGCAGCCATGAAGGCAGCACAACCACAGGCCATGGTTGGTCAAGTTCACTCAATGGGGATGCAAGTGCCAGGCATGAGTATGAACATTGCCCCTACAGTGCCTAATGTGGGCAGTGCAGGTATTGGAATTGGGGCATTTCCTCAGTCAGCAGGTGCTGGTCACACATTTGCAACCAATTTATGGCAGTAAAGTATCTAGTGACTGTGGTGCTGTTCTCGGTTTATACTGTTGTCTGTTATGGCCTTGTTTTCGTTGAGGTGAAAAGTTTATTGCATGGAAACATGTCAGGCTCTAGGTGAAGAGGATAAAGGAAAATGAGCATATTCACAGGATGTTATGTAAGAATTGTCAGATTGGTTACCAAAGAGCTGTCCAATCCATATTTTTTAAACTTCATAATTCACCATTTTAGAATAGAATATTGAAGTAGTCAATGAATTTGTGTCGTGAATGCTCCAAGCTTTTCCTTTTCCAGTGATGAGCTGTTTCATCATTCCAGGTTTTCTAAAGCTGAGGGATCATTGAACCTGCACTTCTGTAGTTCTTAATCTGGAATGCTAAGGCTGCTACAGTAATTTCCAAATGAATCTTTGATACAAAGTTTGCTTAAATTCTCTTCTGTCAGTTGCAATTGTGGACAGTTGCAGTTCTTGGCAATTCATCATCATGTGCTACACATATCAGCAGCATTCTAAGCTTCGATAGTTCCAAACTTGTGCCTGGAATAGCTACTGTAACTGATCCTTAATGGTTTCAAAGTACTGCATTGTTACTTTAATGTTTGAGGGCTCTTGGACTTTAGTATTAGCTGTTAGATTCAGTAATACAGCATTGTTCAGAAATTTTTTAAACTGCCTTTTCCTGTAATATATATCCACATGTCATATATAGATCTGGTGTTAGATCAGGAAGAGATTGTGTCCAGCAGATGGGATGCAAGATATCTCGGATAGTGAGTAGTAGTGTTAGATCCAAGAGGGCCATGGTTTTTGTCTGGCACTTAAGAGTGACTGTATGAGCTTCACCAGCCAGAAATAACATACAGTGTGTGTAAATATTGGGAAACCAAAAACATGTTAGTATCAGCCCTAAAAAGTTATATTTGCTGATTCTAAAGGTGATGTTAACTAACTAAATTAAACACCAGGTTTGTGTGCATTTTATTTGTTCTGTCCTGATTGTTATCATAATGATGTTAACATTGTCCCCATGTTATTGTATGAGATGAAATGTTTCTCTGTCACGCTGGTCTGCATTGCAGAGAGTGCTGGTAATATGATATTCAAGGGACCAGGATAGAAACAGAGGTGCTTGAAGGATATTTTCTCCTTTTAAGTGATAAAAATTATAATTTTTTAGGGTTGGTAGGAATGATTGATATTATTATAGTATTTCTGTTGTTGTTCCTTATAAAGAGAAAGAGTGCATGTATTTCGTCAGTACATGTGTGCAGTGTTTATTGCTGAAGAGATCAGTTATTTTTAATGTAAACATTGTATATCTAGCTGTAGTGTGTATAATTTGGGCAAAGTTCTAGATTTTGTAAGGCAGAGAAGGCTGTAAATATTTTGAATTCATAGAATTATTGAATAATGTATTTATATATGTGTGTATGTATGTATGTTGAAAGTGAAGCACAAGTCAGATCCACTTGAATTTGATGTGTGTTTTCTTTGACTTTATTGTTTACTAATGATGAATCCAACCTAACAAATTTTGTTTATGGTTGAAAGTGATAAAGATATGATTTGAAGAAAAATAATGCCTTCGGGATGTGACTGCATGTAGTCAGGTAGAGGGAGGGAGCATGTCGGTATCTGAGTAAACTTATACTAGATTATAAGGTCTCACATCCCAGAAGACGGTATTTTCATATCACTGCCATGAGAACCAGATCTCACATGATTTGAAGAGTTTGTAATGAAGTCACTGCATTAACCCTTTCAGACCCAAGGAAGCAGAAATAGTACATTCTTAGACTTCAGTGGTTTCTTTCACACCAATTATATGAAAATAACCTAAAAGGCGTTAACATTTATTTCTGCTTTCCCCCTCCACACATACACACATGGAGCAGGCAGAGCTCTGGTCTTCATACTCATACACAAATCAAAAGTATACGGAAGAATCTGAATAATGTAATACAGTAAACCCTTGCTAATCCAGTTACAGTTAATCCGGATGTCAGATAATCCAGATCAGAATATGAAAAATGCTATTCACAGTTGAGTACCTACTTTGAAAGACACATGGCATTTAGGAAGGCAGCTGAGTCACTCTGCATGATAAATGACTGTGCATACATAACATCGTCTTGCAGGTTGTTCAGTATTGATTCTGGGTCAAGTGGATGTTATTCCTTATATCGCTTCATTTGCATATTTCACTAATCCAGATCACCTCTCCCTAATTAATCTGCATTAGTGAGGGTTTACTGTAATCACAAAACATTGATAAGTTTCAGCGGTAAACTGTTTACTAAAGTTCGGTCAGAGGAAGAATGAGCATGGCTCTTACTACCCATCTGTCTAACAGCTACCCCTGCTCTGTGTGCCATCCTTAGGTCAACCAGTTACCATTTCATTCTCGCTTTTGTTCTTTGAAAGGCTTTCTCCCTTCCCCCCTTCTCACATGTTTCCATTCTCAGATAGGTGTTGATAGGGTGGGTAGAATGGGTTAATTGTCAAGTCACCTTAGTCACCACCTGCATTCATTCTCTCTCTTAAACTCCGTGGCCTGTAGCCCACAAGTGAACTATACCAAGCGAGCGACTGCTGCTTGTCGGCGAAATTAGTGCCAACTTTAGTAGGTAGAGGGTGTCATGTGGTCAGCACAACAGATCTCCATGGCTGTTAATCTCGGTTTTCTAGGCTGGAGCCACTATTTCCTTGAGATAGCTCTTCAGATGGCCTCATGAGGCTGAGCAGACCCCGTTCCAGACCCACTACTTCTCGGAAAATCTGGTAGCACTGGGAATCGAACCCAGACCTCTGGGTCTGTAGCCAGGAACTGTGACCACTAGATCACAGAGGTGGTCATTCTCTCTCTTATCCAAGTGTAAACATAGAACACAGAATGGGTTTGGTGCTACATTTTTTTTTAAGTGACTGGTAGTCTTTGCTATATCACAAAATCATTAGAAATTGCCACAGTGGATTCTTTCAAACTCCCTGTTTTATACTTATCAGGAACCTGCTCAGTAGTATCCTGTAAAAGGTATTTGTTTATGAATTGGGTATTACTTCTGAATTGTAGGTGGCTTCAAACGTTCAGACCATACTGTCTGTGACTTGTACTTTCTCATCCACAAAATGAAGACCAAAATATCTATCCCTTGCACTTCCTTGTCCACAAAATAAAGACCAAAATATGTTTATCCCTTGTCATTGCATCTTGCTGTACTGGTACATACAAATTCTGAGATACTTCATGCAACCCAGAATCAAGTTAATTCCATACACTTTCATAATTTGAGCAGTCATTTGTTTCCTCATTTTCTGCCAAGTAATAAATGTTTGTGAAATCGAAGCCCATCTAAGAATTCTTGTCAGGAACATATTTCACAAAATATGAAGACGGCATTCATGTCTGTTGGTTCAAGTGAAAAAGTATGAATATTATGCTGGAACCAAAACAATATAAATTGGAATACCTATAATTTTCTGAGAGAAGTGAGAGCCATTCTTACATCTTTATCAGGAAGAGGAAGATTCTTTCACATAAATTTCTTATGTCTAGAAGAACTCAGTTATTCTTGAACTCACGTTCCTTGTTAACCCATACTGATTTTTGCAGCAGCTTGTAGTGCATGCAATAAATGAGATGCATTTGGATGGTAACTTGCATTTGATTTTATACAGATAATATTTTGGGAAACACCATATAAACAGTAAATGCCAAATTAGAATGTACAAAATGATGTTATGTTATACCACAGTTATGTGGAATGAGTTCCAACATGCATAGCAGTGTTGCAAAAAGTTCATCTTGGTAATATCAAATACAGCTCCTTAAGCGAAACTTGCAAGTCAGTATCAATCATTCATCATTCATTCATTGTGAGAATTTGTAATTTGTCTTTGAATCAGCTTCTAATATGTGATTATGTACTAAAGTGTCATCCTCTCAAGAGTATGCATTCTTAATTTTCAAAAAAACATCTACAGCTACTAGTACAGTTGTTGCAGAAATAAACATTAACAGATGTTAGACGTAAAGTGAGATCTGCTTATGTAGCACAAACATCTGTTGTGTAATGGTGAGAAAAATTTGTCCTAACCCACACAACTGTGCATCCAAGGTCTGAAAGGTACATACTCTTCCATGCTGGTTTTTCTTTAAAGAAACATTCTTCTTTTAGTATGTTTCCATGGTAATATATAATTTGTATTGTTGAAAAGCTATAAATAGTTAATGTAGAGAGGTGGTGAGAGAGAGTTCTTTCACTGATCTGTCAAAACACTGAATGAACTTAAAGAGACCAGGAGTGCCAGTGTTTCTAAATGAGATATGTCATTATAGTTTGGAATGGATTAAAAGTGTTTTGTTTTGACATGGTTTAAATTTTTAAATATTTGGGATGATGAAAGACGTAACAAATTTTAGGTTGTGTATGGACTTAGACTCAACACATCCTCAAAACATGTATGCCAGAACTGGAGAATACATAGTTATGAAATAGCATTTCATATCTTAACAACTCAAATAGAAGGTTGGTAAATAGTGATATTTTGTTGAGAACCAAGTGGCATTGGTGCAATAAGCATACATTGCTCAATAGTTCTGTTATGTAACTTTGAACTGGATCACATTGTCATGACTTTGTTTTCAAAACCTACATTTGTATATATGTGTCATAGTGATTTCAGTATTGTTTTGTTCCCTTTATGTTGTGTTTACATGTGTTGAATTGTATTTTATGATTTGAAGAATAGAGTTTGCATTTAGTCCTAGATAAATCCTGTCTTATTGGTGAAAACCTGTAAACATTAAATATTGTAGGTATTAGAGGGTTCTGATGATGGTATGTAGCACTCAGAATTACTGGGTTTTTGGGCTTTGTCCATTGTCTGGTATTATAAAACATTAGAGAACACAAAGTTGCAGAAACTGGCTCGGTTTCTGTCTTCAGGTGAGGTGGGGAGACACCTACTCTGTTGGGTTAGTCCCTTAGAAAGAGCTAACCTCAATCACTGGTCCAGTCCAAAAACAGTAATTCTGAGGATTAAATAATCAGTACTTTATTTAAAATCTTCCTCTTCACATACTGGATGAAATCAAATTCTGTCCTCTCCTAATTTTACTAAAGTACTGGTGATAAATTAAATATTCTCTTAGTTGTATGCTGACCCATTCACTGTCATTTTCAAGTTGTGTCCACTGTGTGTCAGCTCAAGATATACCCTGTTGTATATTTTTGAAACATTTTTATTCTTTCACCAGATTCAAAGAATGAAAGAAGGAAAGAGAGTGAGAGGGAGGTCTGTTTGAAATATCATGAAACAAACGCTATAAACTGAAAGTATGTACTGTATGTTGAAACTCTGGTCAGAGCTACAAGAAGCTACATTACCACTCAGCATTGCTTCCTTGGTGTTCATAGCACAAGTGATAGTGAAGTATCCAAATTCTCTTATGTCGTATCCATTTTTTGTGTGATTTGATTTAGTACAGCAGCAATCTTGTCCCTCAGATACATGACGTATCTTGAGTGTTCAACATACGCAAGATTTGTGATGTAACCCCATAAAAGAAAAGGTCAGAAGGGTCCAGGTGAAGTTTGGGAACCAAGCAGTGGATACACATAACACCTGCATTCTGCATTGACATTTCTATGAAGGATGTTACACACATGAAGAAGCCAATGCAACACACAGTCCTGCTGAAAAATGACAATGTTCTGTTTATCAGTTTGCAGTTGTGGAAGAAGTACCTGCTTGAACATGTTCAGATATGAAGTGCATTATGTTGTTTCCTTAACAACGAGGAATGCCCACACAGTTTGTTGTGTGTTACTCTACATTAGATTTCCTCTCTCTGTGTTTTATATGAGATGGAGAGATTTTGTTGATCCTTCGCAACACATGGAATATAGCCTCGTCTGTTAACAACATGTTGAGAAAATGTTTGCCTGCATCCATTTACATACCAAAGTTATGAATTCTAAACAAGATACATAGTGCTGCTGTTGTAACTGCTTCACATGCTGAATAAGGTATGGAAACATTTTCAGGTAACACGAGCACAGTGCCTTGGAAGATAATATAAGGCACATTTGTTTCCATTGACAAACTCCATAAAAGGCTTGCTAGGACCTGTCACCATCACTTATCAGACTTGATCTTCAGATTCTGTATCATGCTTTCTCCTGCCATGCTGTGTCTTCAGAATGTAGTCAGCTTCCTCAAGCATTTGATATTTCAACATGAAGGAACTGTATACATGTCTGTACCCTAGTTGCAATCTCATAACACACTGACAGGGCTCAGACCATTGGAGAACTTTACTCTCTGCTGCATGCCCAGTGCCATCTTGAAATTTCTGCAACAGCAGCATCTCTGCTGGCACTGCTCTGCAATGACACTCAGTGGCTCATTCATAATCCTGATAAAATTAAGAGAAAAAAACATATAGAAGTTTACTTTCATGTTATTTCA